CGGGTATTGAACTCATGTGGAAGTGGCTTTAGCTTCTTAGTGCTGTGCTTTAACCTGCTGCACCACCAGGGAGGGCCTTAATGCTTCCCTTTTTATGTCATAAATTCATCTGTATTTTCTTATTCAGTTACATGGTGTCATCAATTTTCTAAACAGTAATACTTCCAAATTGGTATTTCCAGCCCTTCCCCTTCTATCTAAACTCCTATCAACTATTTCCACTTGCTTATGAGACATTTCTATCTAGAGAAACTACATTTAAAAAAAAATTATTGCTTTATGCATACAGAAATGGGGTATAAGCCAGAGGTGCAAAGGCAATGGGAGGATTCACCAGAGACAGAGTGGGGAGCAGAACAGGCAGATTGATGAAGTATACTGCTGAGGGGAGCAGCGGGTGAGATAGGAGAGGTCTGTGCCGTGATGTCCCCCCCTCCCCCACTGAAGTGGCAGCTGCCAGTTTCCTAGTGCTTTGCTTTAACTCATTGTTCCACCAGAGTGGGCTCCCCACAAGAATTTTGTTTGGACCAAAACTGTTACACAGTTTTAATTTGAGGTTGACATTTTTTTTTTCTTTAAGGTAAAGTTTTTATATTAATAGTAGAAATCACCTATACTTATGTATTCATTTACTGCCCTATGAACCTATGTTCACCACTTTTTTTTTTCCTCTGAATTTTTAGTTGCACATAGGAAATGTCTATGAGGCTGGAAAATTGAACCTCTTAACAGTTATTCAGTTATTAAATGAAGTCTTGAAAATAATGAAATATGAACATTGTCAGGATGACCAAGGAGGACTGACAATAGATTTTCACTTTCTTGAAAAAGAGACCAAATTTCAGAGAGAAAGACTATCTAATCTGAAGCAAATGAGGTAATATATAGAAAGATCTGTTAGTTTATTGGAGAGTAGTATGGTTGGTAATTTCTCAGCAAACTTTTGTATAGTTAATTCTTCAATTTTGGTAAATAAATGAAAAAAAATTTTTTTTAAAGATTTATTTATGCATACAGAACTGGGGTACAGGCCAGAGATACAGGGGGTGAGAGGATTCACCAGAGACAGAGTGGGGAGCAGAACAGGCAGATCGAGGAAGTGCACTGCTGAGGGGAGCAGCGGGCAGGTCAGGAGAGGTCTGCTATGCCATGTGGATCTCCTCCGGGGCAGGCGGGAATCGAACTCATGCGGAAGTGGCTTAAGCTTCTTAGTGCTGTGCTTTAACCCGCTGCGCCACCAGGGAGGGCCCAAATAAGTGAAAATTTTATAGTTCAAAAACATGTCATTAAGTTCGAGAGAGTGACACAAAGTAGAAAGGAAAATTAATAATGGTCTTCTTTATTTGAAATAAATTATTTGCTGTGTCATAATTTATAACATAACTTAGAACCTTTATTTATTTAGATCCTTTATTTTAAGATTTATTTATGCATACAAGAACTGGGATATAGGCCAGAGGTTGGGTGGGGGGGTTGTTGAGAGTATTCACCAGAGACAGATTGGGGAGTAGAACAGGCAGACCAATGAAGTATAAGCTGAGAGAAGCATGGGTGGGTCAGGAGAGGTCTGTTGCATCATGTGGGTCGCCTGGCCAAGGATCAGTCTAGAGCTGAGGAGGCTGCAGCTAGCTTCGTATTGCTGTGCTTTAACCTGTTGTGCCACCAGGGAGGTCAGGAGTAGAATTCTGACTCAGGTTTTGAACCTGTAAATTTATTTTAAAGGTAAATGGAACAATAGATGTATGATAGCTTTTTGTTTTGAAAGGAAAGATTTTTAGATTCTGCATAAGTATTCAATTTATGTGTGCTATATTGGTTGAGCTTTCAGTTATATTTTCTTTGCCTCCCTACAAACTGTTGTTTTAAAATTTTACTCAGTACTTGTAAGTTCATATAGTGAATGAAGTTATTTTTATGCTATTATAGGTATAAAATCAAAGAAGATATTAGAAGTATAAGACATTCTGTTGTTGACAAACAAGAAGAATGGTATAAAAAGTGGGAAGAATTTTTTGGTCTGTCTCCTTTTAGTCTAATTAAGGAAGCTCCAGTAAGTAGTGTTGACTTGCCTTTTGGAGAGGAATTTAATGAAAGGAAATCTTGATCTATCATGCCACATATCTACAAATATTATACATTTATATGTTGTATTATACTTTATCACAGTGGGTATGATCTTTGCTCTCAGCCTAAAGTTCATGTTTTTAAAGATTTTACTTTATTTTGTGTAGAATAACTGGGGTATAGGCCAGAGCTGTGTGGGGAGTGAGAGGGTCCACAGAGACATTGGGGAGCAGATCAGGCGGTTCTACTGAAATACACTGCTGAGAGGAGCAGCGGGTGAGACAGGAGAGGTCTGTGATGCCATGTGGGTCACTTCCCTGACTGGGGATTGACTGCACTTAGGCTGTCACGGTGATAGCATGAAACTTAACCCCTGTGCCACCAGGAAGGCCCAATTTCACATGTTTTAATTTCTGTAATTTTTCTAAATACATTTTAGAATAGTCATCAAGTTGCTATTATTTATTACTGATATTTTTATTATATGGCTCAATGACATATTAAAAAAAGACATTTTCTTGATGTAAGGAACTATTACATTTGAGGCATAGTTGGAGAACTGTAATTTTTATGCTTGATAATTCTGTCTTTGTTAGGAAAAATTAAAAATCATATGTTCATCGACTAATTTAGTACTGTGCCATTGTGATAGTGAGTAAAATGTGTGTATTTCAAAATTTTGAATTCTCTGTTTTAAGGCTGTGGATCTTTTACCACCTATGTCTCCCCTTTCATTTGATCCTGCCTCCGAAGAAGCATATGCAAGGAGTATTCTTTTTCAGTATCCTGCTTCACTTCCAGGTTGGTTATTTTTTTATACTCATTTAATCTTCCCTCCCATTAGTGCTTTCACTAAGATAATAGTTGTTTTGTATCTTGTTTCTTTTCCTCAATTACTTTTTATTGTGGTAAGTGCACCAAGTTCATCATTTTAATCATTGCAAAATATACAAATTATACAGCATTTAGTGAATTCACTGTGTTGTATAGCCATTACCATTATCTAGTTCCAGAATATTGTCTTTTTTTTTCCCCCTAGAATATTTTCTTTATCTCAGAAGGAAACCCTGTGGCCACTGAGCAGCCACTCCCTTTTTTCCCTCCCCAATTTCTGAGAATACTCATATGTTGATAGTTCTTATCTCTGTGGATTTGCCTATATGTTGGACATCTTACACAACGATCTCTCTTCTCGGTGTCTGTGTCTGGCTTCTTTCACTTGTACAGTTTTCACTTCGTAGTTTTTCAAGAGTCATCCAAGTGACAGCATATATCTATCATGCTCTCTTTTTATGAATATATTGTATTGTGACTAAACTGTGTTTTTTTTTATCCATTTGTCCAATGATAGAATTGGGTTGCTTATACCATTTGGTTATGAGTAGTGCTGCTATAAATATGTTTGTAGGATTTTTTGTCTAGAAACTACAATTTTATTGAATAAAAGAATAGTACAGGTAGTCACTTTATAATAGCAATATTAATACTACATTTTAAAGGTAGTAATTTGTAGTGTCTCATTAGTTTCCTCAACTATCATGCCATTATCATACCTAAGAAATTAATTTATCTATTAAACCTAATTTCCATTTCCCATTCAGTTTCCCAAGGTGCCCAGTGCTTATATATAAGAATTTGTTGTCGAAGCTAGTAAATGTTAGGTAGGTGAAGTGATAAATGAATAAGAAATGGATGAATTATATAACCACATTGGAGCAGGTAGTAGGTGTAGACCATTGCTCTGTTCAGACAGGGTAATGGTCATGCAGAGGTTAGCATATTCTCCAGACAGTGTACCATATATATTCTCAAGGTTCCTCTCCTCTACCTTCACTATAGAACCTTGGTCTGAGCTATAACCCTCAACATTGTACTTTCTGTAGTAAATTAACATTTTTTCCTCTTCTACACCTCCATATTACATTTGACATGAAGTACTTTTATCTTAAATTGTTTCTAAAAATTGCATTTTATTATTAAAATCTATAGGGGTTAATAAATTCCTCTTTATCAAATTTTTGTCAAAACTTCCCAATATTTGTTATATTTATGTTTTTGCTTGAAAAACATAGAAAAAAATGTTATAACATTTGTAACAACCCAGTATTTCTTTTAAATCACATGTGCCCTTGGATATTCAACTTTCCTTCTTGCGTTTAACCATTATCCTGAATCTTATGTTTATTCTCAAATTATGGTCGCTGATACTTTGTGTAATATTGTTCTATTTCTTTAAAGTTTGAATATGGTTACTCTTATACTCAACAATGTCTTTTAATGCTTATTTTTAAAAAAGCTTTATTCATGCATATAAGAACTGGGATACAGGCCAGAGGTGTGGGAGATTAGAGCACTTACCTAAGAGAGAGTGGAGAACAGAACAGGCAGATCTACTGAAATACAATG